CCCTGGGAGGGTTTTGGCCTTCCTGGGGGAGGGGGCTGTACAAATATGTACACACACACACACACACAGCCTACTTACAGATGTTGGTTTTTTCAATGACTATTTAATGCATTTTAAAGCCTACTGTTGCCCTGAGATTCTAAGTTTAACCTACAAATACCATTACTCTCTTTTATGAATCTGGCAGATTTAAACAATCATGTTTAAGGCTGGGGGAGCTTATAACTCCATTAACTAAATTACTTCAGGATACCTTAGTGATTTTACAAGTTTAATGCTGGTTTCTTAAGTTTATAGTCATCCTAAAAAGCCAAACTTTCCCTAGTTCCTAAACAGTTCTTAAAATTTAACAGATTAAGCTTACCAATGAAATGGATATTAAGTTCTCCTAAACATTTTCAAACAATCACAAACTTGGCCAAATCCTCTTTCAACATTCTGCTTAAAATCCTAAGCACAAAATTAATTATGCAATTACCCATTTTAAACTGGAATTGCAAGGCTAATCTGTTTTGTACTCTGATGGGCTTAATTCCCTTAGATGTTATAAATGTGTGAAAAACCAGATTTACTTCAGTGTCTCCAGTCTAGTTCAACCTTCCTGGGTTAAGGCCACCTCGCCACCAAGGAAGTGGTTTTACTCCTCAGAGCCGTGAGCCAAGGCACAGCTGGGTGGGCCCTCGCCCCGAGTGCTCACCTACACTGGGTGCTCTCGGTGCCCCTGGCCTCCTCCCCACCCCAAAGCCCTCCGCCTCCCCTGTGCAGGCGGCTTCATCGCTGGGCTGGATTCTATTTATTGCTCATCCTTTCAGAGTCTCCCTGCTCTTCCACCCTCAGGCCCCACCCCTTGCAGCTGTTCAGCGGCATCCAGCTGGAAGGTGCTCCCTCACCGCCTTTCAGTGCATTCACTTTACTGTGCCACTAACACCGCCACCCAGCCGCAGAGGCCTTCATCTCCCAGCTGAAACTATCCCCATTAAACTCGCCATCGTCCCCGTGCCCCTGCCAACCGCCATTCTCCTTCCCATGTCCAGGAACGTGTCTGATCAGATCCCTCGTGTGAGAGGAATCACAGTCCTTGTCCTTTTGCATCTGGCTTCACTGAGCAGGGTCCTCAGGGTTCATCCATGCTGTAGCAGGTGTCAGGATTCCCTTCACCAGTTTTTTTAAGTGTTCTTTCTTGTGTTGAGCTGGGAAGCATGCTGGGCCAGGTGGTCCTACAGGAAGCATCTCTGATGAGCCCAGTCCCACCTTTGGGAGCAGACGGCAAAGGACAGTGTCAGGGACGCGTGCACCCTGAGAGGACCCAGGGCTGTGGAAACAGCAGGTTGATCTCTGACAATAACTGTCCTTGGTTGCTTACAGCTGTGCTCCTGGCTGAGGTCAGCACCACCAAAGGAGGGGACGGAGCCCGGCCCATTTTCCCTTAACTTTTACTCCCGCATCTCTAGAGAAAATGCCACTGTTTCAATCCAGTATGTTAGTTTCCTAGGGCTGTCATGGCCACCAGTTGGGTGACTTAGAACAACAGATTTATTCTCTCGCGGTTCTGGAGAGCAGAAGTCTGAAATCAAAGTGTCAGGAGGGCCACACTCCCTCCGGAGGCTGTAGGGGAGATCCATTCTTTGCCTGGTCCAGCTTCTGCTGGCGATGGCTACCATCACCCCAGTCTCTGCCTGCATCTTCATTTCACCTTCTTGTCTGTGTCTGTCTCCTATAAAAGACACCTATCCCTGGGATAGGCCCTACCTGGGTAATCCACGGTGGTCTCATCCTGAAAACCTTAACCACGTGTGCAAAGACCCTTCTTCCAACTAGTAACTTCCACAGATCGCATGGCACAAGAGTGTGGACATGCCTTCCTGGGAGCCACCGTTCAGCCTGCTGCACTGCACCTGTCCCCGCATTCGGTGTGTGCATCTTCCCTAGACGTCCCCTCCCTTCCCTATGGCTCTTCTTTTTTTTTTTTTAAGGTATCATTGATATACATTCTTATGAAGGTTTCACATGAAAAACAATGTGGTTACTACATTCACCCATATTATCAAGTGCCCCCATGCCCCATTGAAGTCACTGTCCATCAGTGTAGTAAGATGCCACAGAGTCACTACTTGTCTTCTCTGTGCTAATACTGTCTTCCCCGTGACCCACACACACACTATGTGTTTCCAGTCATAATACCCCTGAATCCCCTTCTCCCTCCTGCCCCACCTGCCCTCCCACACCCATCCCCTTTAGTAACTGCTAGTCCCTTCCTGGAGTCTCTTTGTTCCTTCAATTTTGCTTCATTGTTATACTTCACAAATGAGGAAAATCATTTGGTACTTGTCTTTCTCCACCTGACTTATTTCACTGAGCAAAATACCCTCTAGTTCCATCCATGTTATTGCAAATGGTAGGATTTGTTTTCTTATTGCTGAATAGTATTCCATTGTGTATATGCACCACATCTTCTTTATCCATTCATCTACTGATGGACACTTAGGTTGCTTCCATTTCTTGGCTATTGTAAATAGTGCTGCGACAAACATAGGGGTGCATATGTCTTTTTCAAACTGGGCTACTGCATTCTTAGAGTAAATTCCTAGGAGTGGAATTCCTGGGTCAAATGGTATTTCTATTTTTAGTTTTTTGAGGAACCTCCATACTGCTTTCCACAATGGTTGAACTAATTTACATTTACACCAGCAGTGTAGGAGGGTTCCCCATTCTCCACATCCTCACCAGCATTTGTTGTTCCTAGTCTTTTCGACGTTGGCCATCCTTACTGGTGTGAGGTGATACTTCACTGTGGTTTTAATTTGCTTTTCCCTGAAATTAGCAATGTGGAGCATCTTTTCATGTGCCTGTTGGCCATCTGAATTTCTTCTTCAGAGAATTGTCTGTTCATATCCTCTGCCCATTTTTTAATTGGGTTACTTGCCCCTGTGGCACTTTTAAGATTCTGCCCACCTTCCTGGGAGGCCACGGTGTTCATTCAGCAAGCAGCCAGACACCTTGGCTCTGAGACCTTCCGGCCTCTCTCCCTGCAGGCTTCCTGGGGCTGCATCTCGCTAGGCACCTGACAATTCCCTTCCCTCCCCTGGGAATCCCCGGAAGGCCAGGCAGAATGTTATGGAGGAGGGGACATGCCAGTCACCCAGCCAAGAGACTAGTGCTGCACAGATTGCCTGCTGGCCCTCAAGAGGAGCTGCCTATGATGTAGAGCCAGCAGTACAGGAAGAAGTCTCATTCAGCCTCCTGCTTGCCCTCTGGACTCTAATTAATTTCCTTCTGGTGGACTGTGTTGATTACAACCTCATTAAGTAGCTTCGTGCGTTCGGGCCCCAGTGGTTTCAATATTGAAGCTGCCTACCTTTGCTGGTTAATATTCTGAGCTTGCTGCCTCTCTGCTTTCCTCAGCTCTGTTGTTGCAGGAACGTGGAGTCATGCCTGGCTGAGACAGAGATACGAGCTCATTTCCCGAGGGGGCCTTCCTTCTGGGAATGGGCTTAAAACCCTGAGTTTAAAAGGGAAGGGGGTGGTTGGGGTTTAAAAATAGCATGTGCCTGGCAGCCTCCTATGTGGCTTCCCCCAGCTTTTCCCTGAAGTACCTAGGGAGACACACCAAAAAGAGACAGAAAATGCTAATGCAAAGACAGGTGAGTGGACTTGGAGGAACTTCCTGGCTCTGAGACAGTTGGGGCGGCCCCGCTGCACCCCAGGAATCGGAGACCTCCTAAAGGGAGGGCTTCATCAACCCAAAGTCAGGCCACCATCCCTTTCCCACAATGCTTTAGAGGTGAAGGGTTCCACCCTGCCCTCACTGCTCCCTCCCCTCGCCTATTCCTGCAGCCTTCAAAGAAAGCAGCTCTCAGAAGCCGCCCCCACCAGGCAGTGCAGGAGGGGTAGGCAGGAGGTGTCGCCACGGGAGTTCAGGGCTTGGCTGGGGTGGGAAAAGCCCTGGGACGCGGACACTGCTGTGGGTCTCCGTGGACTCCATAGTTGCGAGTATCACCCGGGCCGAGGGCACAGTGTCAGAGCCTGGAGAGGTGGACTCAGCTCTTACCCAGGGAGGCATCCAGGGGACAAGGTCAAGATTTTGGTCACCCATTCCAGTGTGTGGGTGTGGTTTTCCACACCAACTGGCAGTTCTGATGCCAGCTGGATGTCCTACCATTCAGCTCAACTCTGATGCTACCTGGACTTAGCATCGGATCCCAAGGGGTCAGGGCTCCATCCCACAGGATGGCATCATCTCCCCACCCCCACTGCTGAGTCAATGCAGAGTCCAGGTTGTCACCTCTGCTGACCTACCAGCCATAGATCGGAGGTTCCCACACCCCTATCCCTGGGTTCCATTAAGTTACTAGACTGGGTCACAGAACTCAGGAAGATATTTTACTTACTGGATGACTGGTTTATTATAACGACATAACTCAGGAACAGCCAGGTGGAAGAGATGCACAGGGAAGGTGTGGGGGAAGGACACAGAGCTTCCAAGCTATCTGAGCCTGCTGTTCTCCCCACCTCCACATGCACAATAACCCGGCAGCTCCCTGACGCACCCCCCCACACCCCCCTTTCATGGAGGCTTCCTGACTTAGGCTCAATTGACTAAATTGCCTGTTGGTAGTTAAACTCAACCTCCAGCCCCTCTCACCTCCCCAGAGGTCAGGGGGATGGGGCTGAAATGTCCAACCTCTAATCATATGACTGGCTCCACTAGCAACCAGCCCATCCTCAGGGGCTTTCCAAGTCACCTCGTTAACATAACGACAGATGCCTTTGCTGTCCTCATCATTTAGGAAATTCCAAAGGTTTTAGGAGCTGTGAGCCAGAAACAGGGACAAAGACCAAATACGTATTTCTTATCAATCACAATATCACATTAGACAGATGATAGATGTGGCTCTCACTAGATCATGCCTCCATCAGAGGTGAGCAAGTGGGGAAAAAACCCCGGGGCATAGCACAAATGCTATGGAAACTAAACACTGACCTCTGAAAATGATCTACAGCAGGAGCCGGAAGAAACGAACATTGTGGGAAAAGAGCTAAAAGCTACAAAAAGAGGCCAAGCTGAAATGAGGAAAAAAACAACAGGGTAAGTTGAAGAGGGAAGATGAATGAGCAAAATAAGGATTGGAAGTAAGTGAGCCGCTAGCCCACCCGTGTGATTGGAAGCAGTGGAAGCAGAGCTGATGCTGTGGAACGTGGGATCAGGGCTGAGGAGGCCAGCCTGACACCCACTCCCACAGCGTGTTGTGGAAGGACACAGATGCTGAGAGACAGCATTGATTTTCCTGGTGAAGAGACAGGCTGAAAGGAGGTCCGTGTTTCTAGGTGGAGAGACACCCCAACACTGAGGGTAAATTCAAAGAAACCACCAACTGGACCCACAGTGGTGAAAATTTTTAATAACCAAACAGTGATGGCAGAACAAAAATGGCCAGGTGCACATGCTGCCCCCTTCTGCTTCCTCCGATCTCAGGAAGATCTCAGGAGATCGCCTTCCTTGGATGTCAGGGACCTCTTTTTTTTAATTGTTGCAAAATACACATAACATAAAATTTACTATCTTAACCATTTTTTTCAGTTCGGTCATGTGAAGTATACACACTGTTGAGCAGCCATCCCCAGAGCGCTTGGCCTCACAGGACTGAAACTCCACACCCACAAACAGCAACTCTCCAGCCCTGCCACCCACCACTCTACTCTGTGCTTCTGTGGAATGAGTGCCCTAGGGACTTCATCTAAACGGAGTCATCCTTTCAGGACTGACTTATTTCACTGAGCATAATGTCCTCAAGGTTCATCTGTGGTATAGCATATGGGGGATTTCATTCCTTTTTATGGCTGAATAATATTCCATTGCATGTATAAAGCACATTTTGTTTATCCTTTCATCTGGGGATGGACATTTGGGCTGTTTCCACCTTTGGGCTGTTGTGAATAGTGCTCCCATGTACATAGGTGCACAAGTATCTGCTTGAGCCCTGCTTTCAGTTCTTTTGGGTATATACCCAGAAGTGGAATTGCGAGGCCATATGGCAATTCTATTTTTAGTTTTTTGAGGAATTGACATTCTGTTTTCTACAGTGACTATACTATTTAACACTCCCATTAGCAATGCACCAATTTTTCCACATCCTTGCCAACATTTTTTATTTTCTGGGTTCTTTTGGGGGGGGTGCTTTTTTGGTCTAAGAACTGGATTAGCCAAAGAAGTTAAGTTGATTTGTATTTGTGTGCAAAGGAAGGGCTAGGTGTTGAGAGGATTTGTAGGGTGGAGATGAGAAGTTGAGAGATACAGGAAAGAGATTTTAGGAGTTTAGAGGGATATTGTGAAAAGGTGCCCCTTTGGTGTTAGCCTTTTGAGAGGTTGTTGTAAAGATACCAGCTACTGTCCAGGCTACCCTCCATGTTGAACTGATGTTCCCAGGAAGGGGCAGTGTGCTGGGACTGTCCAGGAGAGAGCGTAAGGTCAGTGGCAAAGACAATCCTATGGACATCTTCGCAGGAAAAAACAGCTAAACATACAAAAGTCAGGCAGTCTCAGAGTCGCCTGCATTCCAGGGACAGCCAAGTAACAAGTACCCACGAAGGTGTTGTGAAGGGAGTTTCTATCTAGCCAGGCTGTTACTATCTTCAACATGACTTTCATGTTGAAGTACATGACTTCAACAGAAAGGAGTTTTTCAGATAAACTAAACACTCAGAAAATAAGCCACCCATGTATTCCTTCCGAGGAGAACATTTCTACTGGATGATGTTTCTCTAGCAGGGCGAGAACCCAAACTACAGATCCGCGTCCAATGACAGGAAAAGTACTGAGGTGGGGCAGTGAACATGGCAGCTCAGTCCCAAGGACTTGGAAACCTTCACTCCAAACCTAAATGCAAAATGCCACATTTTCATCAATAGAGTAGCTTTAACATTAAAAGAAAACAAAACAAAAACAGTAAGAGTAGTAACCTGCATCCAAAATCTCCAGCTATAGCCACAAAGGCCAAGGAGGGGAAGGAGCTGCAGACGGCAAGTGTCAACATTCCCCAGTGGCCCTCACCCCAGCCTGTCTAGGACCTGCACTAGGCCAGGTCCGATGGCGCCAGCTCTCCAGGGCCATTGCTCACTAGGCTGAAAACCCAGGACCAGTCCCTTGGACTGACTGTCGCTCCTTTCCTTCTCCCAGATGAGGGAAGCTTCCCTCTCCTACATGCCCTCCTCACCACTGCACACACAGGGAGCCTCCCCAAGGAATGGTGAATGCCAGAGAGGAGAGAAAGTTTGCTGTGTGTCTGTCCAGCGGGAGTTTTTCCAGGACCCACACGGAATGCCTTAGCCAGTAACCCTTCCCAGGGACTCCCAGCCCTCAGGCTAGCCCCTTTCCCCCAGAGCACCCCATTCTAATCCTGCAGTTCTCAAACTTCTTTTGGCATCAGGATCCCTACTCTTCTTTTTTTTATTGAAATATAGCTGATATAGCATTGTGTAAGTTTAAGGTGTACAACATATTGATTTGATACATTTATTTATATTGCAATATGGTTGCCATTGTAGTGTTAGCTAACACACCTCTGTTATGCATCACATAATTACCTTTTTTTCTAGCAGTGGAAACAGTTACGATGTAGTCTCTTAGCAAGGTAAACCTTTACAATAGTTTTGTTGTCTACAATCACTACTGTAGGATTTACACTATCTACTAGTTGCAAGTATGTACCCTTAAACAGTATCTCCCCTTCCTCCATGCTCAGCCTCTGATAACCCCCATTCCCCTGTTTTTTTGAGCTCAGCTTTTTTAGATTCCACGTATTAGTGATATCATACAGTATTTGTCTTTCTCCATCTGACTTATCTCAGCATAATGCCCTCGAGGATCATCCCGGTTATCAGAAATGGCAGGATTTCCTTTTTCTCGTGGTTGAATAGTAATCCACTGTGTATATATGTATAATCACATCTTTATGTATCCATCCGTTGACAGACGGGTTGTTTCCATAGCTTGGCCAGTGTGAATAATGCTGCAGTAAACATTGGGGTGCAGAAATCTCATCAATAACCTGTTTTCATTTCCTTTGTATATATACCCAGAAGTAGGATTCCTGGATCATATGGTATTACTATTTTTTATTTTTTGAGGAAAATTTTTACTCTTTAAAATTATTAAGGACCTCAAAGAGATTTTCTTTATGTGGGTTATAGCTCATGAATGCTGCTATTCACTGTATTAGAAATCAAAACAAAAATATTTTAAAGATTTATTTTTTCACTCACTTAAAATTAATAGCTCACGTATAAGATAAATACATTTTTACAAAAATAACTATATTTTCCAAAAGAAAAAGTGTTAGAAGAGTGGAATTGTTTCATGGTTTTCGATTGTTTTAATGTGTGACTTAAAAGAAGGCAACTAGTTCTCACCCCTGCTTCTGCCTTCATTCACTTGTTTTGGGTGAAATCTGTGAAATCCAGTGTCACGCTGTTATGGCATTGGAAAAGAGGATCTCCCAGAGCCCCTGGGAGGAACTTTAGACCACACTTTGAAAAATGTTCTTCTAATCTTCTTCCTATGTGAATCTCTGCTTGCTTCTGGAAAGTCAGGTGCACCATCCCTCTTCCCCCTGGAAAGAGTCCCCAAACCTGCTTCTGCAAGCTCAGATAGCATGGATACTCCACTTACGTGAGATGGTGAGTGCCGGCCATTGTCCCCTGTGGTCCCATGCCTGTGACACTCTCCCAGCGAAGCTGCCCATGCCACCTGCTGACATCCCCAGGCTGTCCCCTGAGGAATGGTCAGACGCACAGTTCCTAGAGATGGCCCCGTTGAGACTCATGCCAAGGAAACCAGGACTTTCCTCACTGCCTGGTAGTTTGCAAGGCAGATCAGCCCCCCATGGTGGAGTGGCCTAGAGGGGCCACATGTGGATTTGATACTGCCCCCACACACACAAACACACACACCCCACCGTGTGTGCAGCAGGTGCCGCCAACCCACTCCACTCCATCCCTTCCTGAGAGCCAGGGCAGAGCTGAGCTGGCAGGCCGTGTCCATGCAGCTGTGACATGGCCATCCCCGATAAACTGGCATGGCAGGGGCAGGGGCAGGGGGAGGACCCAAGGAGGCTGGAAGTGGCCCAAGGTCCCCGCTCAGGACATACGCAATGTCCAGTGTTGTAAAGTGGCACAAGCGCTCTGGGGCCTAGATGGTCAAAAGAAAGAAGGAAAGCCGTACATTGTGCAGCAGGCTTGGGTGGTGGCTGTGACTCACAGTTACTTGGAGCACTGTGACCTCCTTCCCACCCGCACCCACTCCCAAGCAACAGCTAGTGACCCCAGAGGACAGCAGCGCTGAGAGATGGAGCTGCTGTCAGTTCCCTGGAAGCCCAGAGTGTGGAGGCAAGGCCGTGGAGGGAGGAGGCTCTCTGGGCACGCATTTTCCCCAGACATGCCCCGGCTCCCTGGGTCAGCAACTAGGGTTTCTTGGTCCTTCTGGGATGGCATGGCCTCTACTGGCCTGGAAAGGAGTGGGTCATGGAAGACGGCATGGCTGGTAGGAGCACAAGAGACCCAGGCAGTCATCCAGTTCAGGGTTTTCAAACTTCTCTTTGGCAACAGAACTACTTTTCTCATTTTTAAAACCAAAGGGTGGAGAGCAGAGCCACTGACTCTTCTTCTCTCTTGTTGCTGTCAGCCCCAAGCTCTCCCCATTTCACAGATGGCAACTTGCCCACAGACTTGCAGTGATTTCGGGTTGGGCAGAACCTAGAATCCAGCACGTTCTCCCAGGGGCATTCAGGGACAGCTGTAAAAGGAGAGTGCCAGGCGCATGTCATGGGGCAGAGGTACCCACGGGGGTAGGGGCACACAGGGCAGAGCTGAGGAGGGTGGAGGCTGGTGTTCAGCCCACAGCCCACAGAGGGCCAGCCCAACCTGCACAGCAGACAGGAAAGGAGCAGTCAACCCATCTCCTGCTCTCCAGTGGCCCCTAGTCCAGCCTCTGACCATGAGCGTGCCACCCCCGGGCCTCTGCCCTCCACCCCACCTCCCTGCCCCAGGGAAGGGGGCCCTTCGCTCTTTGACACGTGGGCTTCCTAAGACCCTAGGACCCCAGCCCTTTGACCTCCCCTCTTACTGCACTTCCAGCCGCCTCCTGCCCCAGGGAGGGTGAGCCATGTTTTTGCTCATCACTGAGTAATACTTTGTATCCTGAGGTCACGTGTGTCCCGAGGCCCCAGCATGCCTGCTGACTGTGAGGCCAACGTGGGTTGTGTGGGCAAAGCTCCCTGTCCCATCCTGACTCCCGGGTTTTTCTAAAGAGAGAGGCCATGGCTTTTGCCACACTCTCAAATGGGTGTGTAATCCAAAAAGGGAGGAGGGCCTTCCAGAAAGGTGCAGGCCAGGGCAGGCCCCACCATTCCTGAAATTCTTTTTTTAACATCCTTATCACGTGACTTTTTTTCTTTCAGTGTTTTTGGATATAATTGAGACGTCACTGTGTGAATTTAAGACCTACAACAAAAGTCTTGATTGGCATGTATTGTGAAATTATTACTGCAGTAAGTTTAGGTCACATCTTTACTTCACAGAGTTAGGAAAAAAAAATAAAAAGGTTTTTTTCCTTGTGACGAAAACCTTTAGCATCTATTCTTAGCAACTTTCAAATATACCACCCAGAAGTGTTAATAGAGCATCAGGTGAGGTGCACGGTCCAGCCCTGAACTGACAGGTGAAGTCAGCCGCTCTGGGCCTTAGTTTCCTCATCTGTACGTTGGGAATGATGATGCCCAGCCTCCTTGCCCTACAGGGGTTTCTAAGGGAAGGAGAGAAGGCATTTAGAAAAATGTCTGGGAGCAAATCCTTCATAGGACTTACCCATTACCCACACATTTCCCCAGGTTGCAGGACCCTGGCAACCCAGGCTGGGGAGCCTTCCTTCTCTGGGATGTGCTGGGACAGCTCCTTATGTGGCTTGGGGGCTAGAGGGCTTAGGGTGAGGGCAGCAAGTGTGGGCAGTGCCCGCCTTCTGCACCCACCCTCTGTGGCCCCCTTGGTCCTCAGGGGGTGGGGTGGGGACAGTGCCCCTAGGGGGAATGTCTCATTGCCTGGTCTGTGCGAGGCACCGAGCTAGAAGCCGGAACCACAGCTCCCACCTAAGGGTGACGGAAACTGGAGAGAGGCGTTTGAGAAAAGACAGAAGATACACCCGTGTTCTTTCCCACACAGAGGGCATAACGCTTAGTCCAACATTCTAAAGTGGAAAACTATGTTTCTTTACTTCTCAAAAGCAATTAACTCCGTTTCAAGCCCCCATGGCTTGTCTGGTGGGAAATTCAAGCTTAGTCCTGTTTGGGAGGCCTATCTTTTCCCTGGAGCTGTATAGAAATCTTGGTGTCTTAGTCCACAACCCTTAGGTCCCAGTCCATACTGGTCACTGCTCTTGGCCAAGCTCTGGGGTTCTTTGCTGGCAGGCAGGGGTCTCTGCAGAGGCTCCCAGCGAGGCTCTCGGTGTGTAGTGCCCCCCAAACCCTTGTCCCTCTTCAGGCTTGGGGAACCTCCTACCCAGTGCCCCTTGCCTGCATGCCCCCTCCCCTCCCTTCAGGAAGACCCCACTTGATACCCTTTCTTAGGGAGCCCTGGTGGGGGTTTCTTCTGGGTGCCTGGCAGCCTCACAGCTCTCCTATCAGCCCCACAAGTCATAAATCCCCCCACGCAAAGGGACACAGGTCAGGTCACCTGCTCAAGGAGCAGCAGTAAACATGATGACAGAAGAATGAAGAAAACAAATGCTGGTTTGTGATCCTGTCACAAAACGGGGATTTTGCCATACATGCCATCTCCAAATTTTGCCCCAGATGGAGGAGCAGCCACTGGAGCTGTGTCTAGGCTTCATCCTCTGGGGAACTGGAGAGGTGATGGCTTGGGGGCTATCTTGGGACAGGACAATAAACTGGGGAGGCCATCTCGGGGGGCTTGCCTGGCCCCCCGGGAAGTTCTATAGATGCTTCCTTGCAGCTTGGGAAGCACTTTAACCAGGGGGCAGGGTCTCCTCCCCTGCCAGGGCTCTGGGGGCGCTAAGCCACCTCCAGGGGGCTGTTCTGGGCACATTGAGTGGGACACAGGGGAGGGTGGGACCGCCCCTGACCTCTGGGCATCCTTCCCTCTTGCAGGACTTGGGCATGGAATCAACCTCACTCGATGATGTCCTGTATCGCTACGCAAGCTTCAGGAACCTGGTGGACCCCATCACTCACGATCTCATCATCAGCCTGGCCCGCTACATCCACTGCCCCAAGCCGGTAGGACAGCTGTGGTCAAGCCAGCCGGGTCCGGGGCTGTGAGGAGGGTGCCTCTCTGGGCAGAGCAGCTCAGTGGCCGAGCTGGGCTGGTCAGTGCTGCCCAGGCCCAAGGCCAGGCCCCCTCATCTAAACACTGACAGCGGGCCGGAGGTGCCCACAGGCCCAACATCCATAGCAGAGGCTGCACATTGGCAGTTTCCTTTGGCCCACAGGGTGTTAAATCTGGATTGCCTCATTTAAAAATCAGAGTATTTCGCACAATCCCTAATATTCAGCATGGCAGAGTTCAGGTAAGTGGGAGATGGTTCACGTCCAGCCCTCTCTCTGCCACCAAGCCATGGGCACTGATGCAAGGCTGTGTCCACCTAGAAATGGACTCTTCCTCTTTCTACAAAGGTACTGTGTAAGCGCAGCAGCAGCCTGCATGGCGCTCTCCAGTTTGCCTCAGGCCTCACCATTCCCAGTTGTCTTCCTCCCTGAGGCTGAGTGTCATTTTACACCCACCCACTGTACTCATGTCCACTTCCTGCCTGACTGCAGGAGCTGAGAAGGAGAAGCTCCAGAGCTGTCCTGGCTCAGCAAGCTCCACTCAGCCCCTTCTGGATGGGAGGATCTGCCTTCTTCCTGCTGCCTTTAGGGGCTGAGCTGGGCCATGGGCCTCAGTGGGCTCCAGGCTGGCTTCCCCAGAACTGCCCACTGGAACCCTTTCAGGGGAGGGAAGGGGAGGCCCAGAGTAGGGCAACTCCTCATTTGAGCTTTACTCTCTGTTTTGGCTGCTTCTCTCCCGTCCCTCAATTTCCAGCAGCTTCCAAAAGAAGCATTTCCGCCATAGCAGGACAGGAAGCCAGAGCAGGTGGAGGGGTGCCTGGAGGAAGCTCCTCCTACAGAGCAGATCTGGGATAAGAGCCCACCTGTGCTTGGCCTGGGCACACGCTGAACTTGGTTGCCCAGAGGCTGGAACCTTGCTCTGGGGCTGAGCCTACATCTGGGACTTTGTCCAGGGCCTGCTTCCTGGCTTCCAGGGCTGTCTGGCACCAAGACTCCATGGGGGTGCTGGGAGCTGGCCCGGGGCAGGCTTCAGGTGATTTGGTGGTAGGATGCGGCAGAAGACAGCGATGCTGGGCTCAAATATATAATGGTAAGAAAAAACCAGTAATGAGGGTTGTCAGACTGGGGGCCTGCAGGCAGGGGAAGAGGAATGGAGCCAGGAGCCACGGGGAACCAGCTGGAGCCGACCCACCCTGCCTTCCCATCCAGATCACACCTGGCTAAGCCTGGGGAAACTGAGCCTGGGACCTGTGTGGGGCCTCCCACGTGCCAGGACCCCAGCTCTTCCAGGGCATGAATTCAGCTGCCTGCAGGTGAGGGGGTGACAGATGATAGAGCCCCACAAGCAGATCAATAAGAGAGAGATTATTTTGTGTCCATGTTAGAGTTCACAAAGACAAAGTTCCAGTAATAAAGCAATCTGAGGAAGGTCAGAGCCCAGGTGAGAACCCCAGGTGTGCTCTGGGGCCCGGGTCTGGGCAGGGTACAGGCAGCTCGGGGGCTGCTCTCTGGGCCGGCAGTGCTCACAAGCTTGCAGGGTGAGGCTGGGCCAAGAGAGGACAACCCGAGCACCTCCCCGCCACAGCAGGAAGGGCCTGCAGGTAGTTACCTGCCATGTCCACCGGGAGACAGGACAGGGCTAAGGAGAGGCAGCCAAGACACCTGCACTGTGGCCATCCCTCCCATCGGGGTGGGGACAAGGGAGCCATACCTGGGTTGTTGTAGCTCAGGCTGCTTGAACAAATCACCATTACTGGGCAGCTTGTAACCAACAGAAATGTATTTCTCACAGTTCAGGAAGCTGGAATCTGAGATCACAGTGCCAGCGTGGCCAGGATCTGGTGAAAACCCTCATCCTAGCTTGCACACGGCCGCCTTCTTGCTGTGGCCTCGCATGGCAGAAAGTGAGCTAGCTCTCTGGCCTGCTCTGATGACCCTCATGACCTCATCTATCCTGGTCACCTCCCAGAGGCCCTACCTCCAGACACATCACATTGCAATTGGGGTTCAGCATATGAATGGGGGACACACACATTCAGTCCATTGCACAGGTGTCACCTTTCTCATCACCTTGTCAGTGGAACCCCATGTTCCTCAGCTCTGAAGTGGGCCTAACAACCTTCTCCTTTAGAGCTGGTCAGAGGGCTCGGTGAGGGGCATTGGCATGCGCCCAGCATGGCACCCCATCCACAGAGGCTGAGGTGTAACTGGTCAGTGAGCACCGACCACATGGCAAGCAAGTTGCTCAGGCCCAGCAGGTCAGTTGTAGGACCTGGAGGCAAGGAAGGTACCGCCCCAGGCGCTGGCCCCTGTGGGCTCGGTGTCTTGGAAAACAAGGGACTGGCCTCCAAGCCAGATTTCCAGACTCAGCCAGAGTGGGGTCGGCCCTGTGGGAGGCCCAGGGTCCTAGCTGGCCCCCTACCCATATCCAAGGCCAGATGGCAGGTTGAGGCCCGGGTGGGAAGTCCCAGCTACAGGGTTCCCAGGCTGGTGATAGGGGCAGCCTGCACCCACCCCAGCTGTATGATCTAGCTCACAGAACTTCCTGCTCTTAGCTCTTTGATCTGAGAATTTCAGATCAGCCCACAGACCTTGGTGTGGTCCTAGAAGTTAGACAGGTGTCAAGACTACCAGCTGTGAGGGGCATCTCCCTCTGCTGCAAGAAGGGACAGAGGAAATAGCCATTCCTGGGCCCCTCTCCTGGTGAAGCACCTGCAGGATGATCCTTCCCACGACTAAGAGGACTCCCTTGAATGAGTCCCATCTACTTTCTCAATCTACCAAATCCTCTCCTGGTACTTCCCTGGCTGTGGGCCCAGGCCCTAGAAAGGGGGTAGGAAGGTCTGTGCCTAAGAAGATGGGGATAGGCGGAACCCCACCCCACCCACAAGTGCAAACCAGTGAATCCCAAATCTGTATCCTTGGCCCAGCTTCAGACTCTGGAGTCACCACCTCTTGGACATTCCTGCCTGGTCCCTAAGTCACCACCCCCTCCCACTCAAACTCATTCCACTATTAGCACAGATGATCTAGCAGGAAATCTCAGGGGCTCCCACCTTCCCTGTGCCCCAGTCCCACCCCAGCCATCTATCACATCATGGCCACAGTCAGGTTCCCTTGGAGGCTAAAATGATGGTGTGTGACCACAGCAATTTGTTGAAGAGGCTGCCAGGGGAAGCCAGGCCAGCTCACGCTCCCTCCAGAAAGGGCAGATGACTTCAACCTGTCCCTCAGGGTTTCTGTGTAAGTGACTCCACAGTCAACTCAAGGCAGAGGAGCTGGGCTTTCAAACCCCTGCACTGGTCAGAGTGAGGGGCTGCCTGGGTGGATGTAAATTCCTGGGTTCTGTCTCCCCAAGGTTGTCTGAGGGTCCCTGCCGCAAAGCCAGTCATGTGCAGCATCCAGGCAGACACCCCCCAAAGAAGGGAGGAGCCCCGGTCGGGGAAAGTGGGTCCAAGGGACAGAGACTCATATTGTCTAGCACAGTTGACAAGGTCTAACAGCTCTAATTCCATCCCAGGGGCATCTATGAGGCTCTGCTCTCGGGGCTACTGGGTTAGCCTCCAAATGGACTCTGGGGCTCACCTCCGCCTCCACCTCCCTGCCCTCTCAGCCCTGGGGGCAGCCAGAGAGCAGTCTGCAAAGCAAATTGGGTGGTATTTGTACCTGGCTAGAAAACCTTCCATGTGCAGTTTAAGTAAAACCCTGATGCCCTATCTGGCCCTGCCTGAGTCTCCTTGCTTCTCACCTCTCCAGCCTGCTGGCTCTGCTCCAGCCACATGCGCCTCCTCTCTCCCTGGAGCACCCAGGCCCTTCCCTACCTTAGGGACTTAGCCACCACCTCTGACAGCACCTGCCCCTCTGTCTGAGCTCCCCTCTCTGCCATTCAGACTCAGCCTAGGGCCCCCCTCAGAGGGCTGCTTTGGCCAGCCCACCTTACATAGGTCTCCTGACCAGCCTCTGTTTATTCCTTCCTTTACCTTCATCTCACGCACTGGTCTCTGCAGTTATCGTCCTTTGTCAGCCAACTTATTGTTTGCTTTCCCCACTAGAATATATAAATTCCAAAGGAGCAAGAGAAGGCATCTGTTACATTCTGTCCCAGGCAGGGCCCTGGCAGGAGGCAGGCGACATATTTTGTTGTGAATTTTTAAGAGAGTTTAATAAAGGGACTATTTCCAGGGTTGTGGGCAGGATAAAGGAAATGAACAGAGATGTTGAGACACCCAAAGAGAAGCAGCAGCAGGAAGTTGCTATCACGGAAGGGCCCACAGGCTGAAGCTGTGATGCTGGAGCCAGGACACCTCTCCCAGAACTGTGTTATGTGTCCTATTACTGCACATTGCCCCAAAATTTACTGACTTAAAGCAACAGATATTTATCATTGCACAGCCTCTGTAGGTCAGGAATCCAGGAGCAGCTTCACTAGGTAGTTCTAGCTTAGGGTCTCTCAGGACATGAGACAGGGCTGCAAAGACTGGCAGCCTGCTTCCAGGATGGCACGTCCTACAGCTGTCGGCAGAAGGCCTCAGCTCCTTGCCACATCCTTAGGACCACTTGAGCTTCCTCACATCATGGCAGCTGGCTTATCCCTGAGTGGGTGATCTAAAAGACAGCAAGGCAGAAGCCACAAACTTTTTTATGAGTTTTTTACTCTCAGAAGTCACATACCATTATGACTGCTGTTTACTATTCATCACCTAGGTCACCCCTGATACAGTATGGAAGGAAACTTCACAAATGCCAGTAGGCCAGAATCAGTGTGGGCCATCTTGCTGACTGTGCTGAAGTAGGGAGGGAATGAGACTAAATCCCTGGACCTTCATCTCCTCCTGCCCTCTCTGATCTCACTCCAGTCATTCCCATTTGCTGAACCTGGGAGCCAGGAACAGAAGAGCCAAGTAATGCTGTCTCTAGAGCTCAGCCTCTCCAAGCACTGGGAAGAGCAATGAGCAGACTGGGAGGAGGGAATAAACAAAACCCAGCACCCTGGCTCTGTCCGGAGCAGTGTCCAGCTGGTCGTAGGCAAGGCAGGCAGTATTTGATGACTGCATTTACGAACAAATGAGGGAGGTCTTTGGGCAGGAGGGCCGTGCTTGTTTGGGTCCCAGGAACAGCATACAAAGGTGCCTGCGGAAGTGAAGTCAGAGGTGCACGGGCTGACAGCTGAGGGGTGGTCCAGGCGCTGTGACTCCTGGAAGGGACTGCAGGTCTTGCACATCTTTCCGGACAGGTCAGTGAGTCCCCAGGCCTCTGGGCAGCAGCACTGAGCAGGGCAGGAGAGGCTGCACACACTCCACCTGCCAAGTCACCCCTGACTTGCACCATGCCCTCCCTGACCTTCCTTCTCCTTCCTTTCCCACTGGTGGGAGGAAGAGCTGCAAAATCGCTTCCGCAAACTGCCTCCAAGCCTCTGGTGTCAGTTAGGACTCAGCTGCAAGTAACAGAAGTCACTCCTGATACTGAGGGTCTTGTGGGGCCCAAAGGCAGCCACGCTTGAAAAAGAGGGACTAGAACTAGACAAAACGCAAGCAGCTCTCCATCCCTCCTCTCTGCTCCCCTGGCTCACTCTCCAGTCCCTCTTGCCCGTACTGCACCGCAGCAGGCAGGGCTGCCCCTGGCTCCGAGTTTACTTGCCGAGGTCCATCCCCGGAGGGTCGGGGTGTGACCCCATCTCGAGTGGGGATTCCGGGAGAGGGCTGATTGGCTGCGCTCTGCCGGTGCCGGCTCTGGGTCAATCAGCTGTGGCTTGGAGGCTAGGTCTGGTTGCGCAAAAGGGCTGCTGGGCTGCACCGCTTGGAGGAGAGGGGCCAGCAAAGCCGTGGGCTGCAGGGCGCAGGGACGTGCGAAACTCGCGGGCCTGTCATCAGAGCTGCCCGGCCATGGCTGTCCTAGGGGCGTTTGGATGCTCCGTACCTGAGAGGCAGCAGTTCCTGGCACTGAGACGACGCAGAACTGCCCTTCCTCCACCCTCCCACCCTCTCCGCTCCTTAACTCCGCGTCTGGGCGCGTCCTGCTTTGTCCGACGCTGCGCGGCTGGGAGACATGAGGGGGCTTCGATAATTGATAGAGTTAGGGGGAAAATTAGATGGGCTTGCTTATGCTTTTCCGGGTGTGCAAATGAGAGGAACGCCTTGAGCGGAGCAGAGCGCAGAGTGGGTGGTAGGATGGGAGCGCCTCAGAGCGCTGCCGAGGTCGGGCCCTGAGCCCACCTTCGCTGGGGCTTCCGTATGGCCTGCCAGTCTGTTCACCTCCTTTATGCCTCGGCTGCCTTTCACAGGACTGTGGTAGGACTGTGATGAGCTCATGCATGCCACGCAGAGACGATACCTAGCATACAGTAGATGCTCAGGAAATGATAACTGTTGTTTATTTCGTCCAGACAAGCGGAGGGGAGCTCTCACTTCTGTGAGGGCACTAGGTCACGTCTTAAATCACCTCTCTTGGGTGACCATATCAATTGTCCCCGTTTAGTCGATGAGGAAAGAGGCTGGCCCATCCTCCCAGGCGGGGAGCTGCAGCACGTAGTCCACCCAGTCCTCGCCCTGCGCACGGCTGCCCCCTGGTGGTGGTGCGGGCGCGCCGCAGCGGCCGCTTTGCCGACGCTTCCTTTTCCTTCAAGGCCCAGCTACCCAGGCCTAAGAGGATGGAGAAACCATGGCCCCTGAATTCTGGAAACCCTGGGAATTGGTTGGAGGAGGAGCTCAGTTCTCAGGTTTGGAGCAGGTGCTGAGGGTGACTGGCAACACTGTGGGCCAAACTCCAGATCCCACCCACTGGCCATATATTTAAAACGTGTAAACCGGTGCTTCTCCACCTGACAGCACAGGGAATCACCCGGGGAGCTTTTAAAAATCCTCGTACTGGAACTTGCCACCCATCGCTGGAGGTGGCCCAGGCAGCAGTGTTTACAGGTGTCCCAGGGGAGAACCACGGCTCCAACTGCAGCATCTCCGTTGACACGTCCCACCTCCCTTTGGCCTCCAGAGTTGACCTTCACCCCAACCCCCACCGTGACTGGCCCTCCCTGAGCCCATGCTGGCCAAGGCTTTCTCACTGGAGTCCCACAGAGCCCCCTTCTCCATGGTGCCCAGGCCACAATTACTCCTCCTTGTCTGACCGTGCCCTCTCCATCCCTCCATCCCCGTGAACTCCCTTTGCCTTCTGCCCCAGCTCCTTCCTGGCCAGGGAATTTAATCAGATGCTGATGAAGGTGTCCAGCCCAGACCTACCTTGAGCCTCAGCCCCATAAATCCAATTGCATCTCAAGCTCCACAGGGTCGCAGATAAGGGGTCGGTCATTCTCCACCCCTGCCCTTGCCTTCTAACCAGGTTCCAAATCCAAAGCCAAGACCCCTCCTCTTCCCGTCCCTGCCCACACCCCAACCCCATCCTGTGCTCCACAAGCGAGTGTGGTGGCCTCCATCTAGCAGCCCTTCCACAGGCCTGGCAGGGACGCCCCACACCACCCATAAGCAGAAAGGCCTGGCCTTGAGCCACCTCTCTGTCTCCAGTTCACCCCTTTCTCCACCTCCCAGTCAGAGGGGTGGTCCCCAAATGCAAATGCAATCTTGCTGTTCCCCCTTCCGTAAGTCCACTACAGCCCACATGATGGAGCCCCTGCCTGCTTCACCACCAGCTTCCTGCCACACCCGTATGACGAGGCTCAGCAAGAAACTAAGTCTAAAAACCAAAAGATGAACACTACCAGGGTAGCGAACACAATTCCCTGGAGTGATGGGTGACATTCACTGATCAGACCCACAGGCTTAGGCGATAGGAAGGTGAGCTTTGTGGAGAACAAGGCCAGAGGTTTCATCTGAACAGATTCCATTTGATCTCGGGTTTTTGTCTCCTGGATCCTGCTCAGATGCTTCACCTCCTCAGGCACTTAAACCCCTCTCCCTACCTCCCCTCTGGTCTCCCTCTGGAGGCCCCCTCTCTTGCCTTTCCACCTGCCCCAGCCCCTGGCTTTCTGAATCTGTTTCCTCCCCTGTAAAATGGGCATCATAAGAGCATTTGTTGGTCTAGGGTTTTGTGGGAATCCTATAAGGTCCTAGCATAACGTCTCTGTGCAGTAATCCAGGTGACAGATGATAGTGGCTTGGACCAAAGTGTAGCCAATGAAGTGGTGAGAGTGGTCAGGCCCCAGATTGTCACCAACCCCATGCCTGTAACCCCCACACACCCAATTCCTTGCACAAAAATGAAGTCATTTCCTCCTCACTTGGGGATGCCTCTCTGTTTGCTTTCTCCATCCAAAAACCCCTAACCCCTCGGCTCTCAAAAGCCCAGCTCAGCTCTCAGCCTGGGCAAAAATAATCTTCCTTCTTTACCATGCCAGAGTTCTGTGTTGTGCTGCTCTGACAGTATAGCCCAGTATTTATTTCCTGAAGAGCTTACCATGCATGGGGCTCAGCTATATATGGGGCACTTTGCAAGTAGTAATTCACGCAGTCCACACAAAGTGCCCTGTGGGTTGGTACTGCTATGCCTTCACAGATGATTACTGGAGGCACGAGAGGTCAAGCAGTTTGCCCGAGGTCACACAGGGGTTGACCAAGCAAAGGTTCGAATCCACATATTTGGCTCCAAGTCTAGGCTCTTCTGTACTCAATATATTGCTTCTCCCTCAGCAGAGTGAGGATAATAACAATCAAGCTGGCCTTTTCCTGAGTGCTCACTCTGTGCCAGGCACTCTGCCAGGCATGGGTGTGGCCTCACCACATCCACGTTGCTATCTGCTTGTGAGTTTGCATCCGAGCCTGGCATTTGCAGGCCCTCAGCCCTTGGCACTGGCCTATCTGGCAGGAGCACATATTCTCAGCCGTTTGCTCTGCCAGAGTTTGAGGACTATTTCACCGACTGCCCATGGGCCAGAGCCAGAGTCTCTCCAGTCTCTCTCTGCTGCACCTTCAGCCCAGTGCATTGGTTTGCCAGGGCTACCATAACGAAATACTACTTAAACAGCAGGAATGCTTTTCTTCACAGCTCAGAGGCTGGAAATCCAAAATCAAGGTGTGGGCAGAGCCGGTTCTTCTGAGGCGCCCCCTCCTGGGCACGCAGACAGCTATCTTCTCCCTGTGTCGCCACACGGCTTTTCCTCTGCATGCTTCTGTGTCCTGATCTCTTCTCTAGAGGACACCAGTCACATTGGATTAGAGCCCACCCTAATGACCTTACATTACCTTAATTACTCTTTAGAGGCTCTATCACCAAATATAGTCACATTCTAAGGTATTAACGATTAGGACTTAACACAAGAATTTGGTGGGGACAAGATTCAGGCCATAATACCCAGGGTCTCAAACTCAAACACTGATGGGCCAGGTAGGAAATGTCTTAGGTGAATGAAGTGGACAGGGAAGACTTGGCCCTCATTTCTTTGGTTTTCCCATTTTTGGCATGGGCAAAAGAGACATAGTAAAAATACTTCACTTTTCTCCTTACTACGTTAAAAAGAAGAGCAGGGCATTCATTCATGGCTGTATCCCCAGCTCCTGAAACACATGCCTGGTAACTAGTAGGTGGCCAGTGTTTGTTGAGAAGATGAGTGAGCAGAATGGCCCTGGACACTGGGGAGTGGCAGAGACCATGGTCAATACTAGCTAAGGGATCAGCTGGCTCCCAGCTCCAGGTAACTGTGAGATCACCTGGAATCCAGATTTTTATATACATCTCAAATTTTCAAAGATGGCAACTATAATAATTCACAGAAACTAAAACCACTGTACAGATGAGTTGGCAAGCACCGTTGTCTACTAAGAGTGCCCAGCTTGAGCCAGCAGAGCAGGCAGCTGGGGGTGGAAGCCTGGGCCTCCCCCGCCTGATCCGCCTGTGGTTGTCCCTGCAGGAAGGCGACGCACTGGGGGCCATGGAGAAGCTGTGCAGGCAGCTGACATACCACCTCAGCCCCCACTCCCAGTGGAGGCGGCACCGGGGGCTGATGAAGAGGAAGCCGCAGGCCTGGTGAGTGAAGTCCCCGTGCAGGGCAGCCCAGAGGCGTCTGTGACAGGCTGGCCTGTGGTACACAGCTCCCACTCCCAGGGCAGTGGGGCCAAGGGCTGGAACCAGGGAGTGCTGTCTTGGACAATTGCCTGAAAAAGGTGAGGTCAAATGAGGATTCGGGGGCAGGGGAGAGCAGCCAGGTGGGCATGAGCCACGAGGGGAGCTGGAGGCGGGCCCTGCTGTGTGGGTTGGGAGCTGGGGAGTATGGGTCCATTCCAGTGGGGTGGAGTAGGGGAGGGGACATGAGTTTCTAATTCCTGGTGTGCTGAATGTGGGCACTCCCGTTGAGCCCCCAGTTCTCCTGGATGTCCCCTAGGGGGACCCAGACCTCAGCTGTGTCCCTGGTTCATGCAGCACTGAGGACTCTGAGGGTTTTGTGGCCCCTGGAAGGGTGGGGGTGGGGGCATACAGGACACAGAACCTGTGGGCTGAGACAGGTGGCACCACAGGAGGCAAGTGGACGGGAACCTGAAGGAAGGCCTTCTGCAGGAGCGCCCCTGCCTCCCTTGCAGATGGCCATGGAACAGGGTGGCATGCACCCTGAAAGGCTCTGGCAGGGCCTTGAGGCTGCTGCTGGCCCTTCCTGCCAAACACAAGGGGAAGGACTGACCTTCACCACTGACCAGAAAGAGCTCCAGTGCCTCCTTCCCCTCTGGGCACCCACTCCCCCAGAGCCCAGAGGGCAGATGGGGCCTAGGGAGGCCTTCCCCGGTGGACAGTGACATGAGGCTCCTGGGGCTGGCCAAGGATGGGATTCCAGTGGGGCTGAGGCAGGGGCCACATATGGGGACAGGACAAGAGGACCCATGGGGCCCGGGATGCCATCAGGAGCTTTGTGATCTAGCCTATCAGGTTTACAAGTCTAAAAGCTGCACATTTGATTTCTGCTGGAATCTGGAGGCCTTCTCTTCTGTTTCCCCAGAACACACACATGCTCCGTCCACCCTTCATGCAGAGGCCTCACTCCTCTTGGCGGCTTCCCATCACCCTTGAATGAAGTCCAAACGGCCCTTTGTGATGGACGCTCAACCCCTCCCTGGGCTCTCTCCTCCCTCCTTCCTTAACCCAGCTGCACTGGTCTTCCTGCTGGTTCAGACACACCAAGCTCTCTCCAGCCTCGGGGCCTTTGCACATGTCCTTCCTGTGCCCGAACCTGTACCAGACTTATCTGATAACCCGCTTTCCCTGTAACCCACTTTCCCAGCAGCTCCCATGTTCCATCCTTCGAGAAGCCCTCCCTGAGCAGCCTGCCCCCAGGCTGCTTCATCACTTCACTCCTGTTCATTTGGTTTTCTTCCCTCTGGTAGAGTGACAACAGGAATCTTGTCCATCTGGTTCATTGTGACCCCAGTGCCTAGACCAGCACCGGTCACATAGTAGGAGCTTAACAAGCACTTGCCAAAGGACTGAATGAGGTAGGGGATATTACTGCAGCCATTTGATGGCCACAGTCACCCAGCTGCTAAGCGGTGGGGCTAGATTCAAATCCACCCAGGCTCAGCTGTTAACCACCACACCACCTACTTCCCATGGGTAATAGGCCTGCTTTATTAACGACGCTGATAGGAAGAGCAGCCAACACTCACACCACACTGAACAAATGCCACACAGTGTGGCCAGCACTTAGCTGTCATGCCTTGAGAGCTTTACCTTCAGACTCCTTGGGGCTGCGCCCCAGCCTCCCATCAGAGGTGACATGAGCAAACTGGGAAGCCTTCCAGTTTCAGGCGATCCCAAAGATAGGGACTTCCTTGTTTTGTCAAGCAGAAGGCAAAGTTGTGATCCCCAGGCTGCAGCTATGAATGTATATGCTCTTGGAGTAGGCTATGAGCCCCTCAGCCCTCCTCTCCTGCCCAGGATGGGGCCTCAGAGCTTGCCTGGGATGCCTGGAAATGGGGAGCTCTGGCCCCAGAGCAAGCAGCAAGGGAAGGAAGAGCAAAGGATGGCAGGTGGCAGGGTGTAGAGCACACAGCCTCCAGGAGCCAGCAGCTCCCACCGGACTCGGAGCCCCTGTGCCCGCTCCTACCTGCATCCTGCAGGCTTTCCCAGAGGATCCCCCATCTGGAGGGGAGGATGGCCTTGAAGAGAGGGGCCTCAGAGATCCTGTGCCACTCTCAGGGAAGCACTCAGCCCAAGTGATTAATGACACTCGCCCATCCAAGGCACTGTCCTAAATGGTTCCCTTTATTACTTCATACAACCCTGTGGTACTCAATTAGCTCCATATTTTTTTGAAGAGAGGTTAAGGAACTAACTAAAGAGGTAGGAAGAGAAGACATTATGGTGCAAACCTAGGCGTGGTGGCACCGGAATGTACCCTTCGTCACTGCAGAGACACTTGGGCCTTTCCCTTGGGGTCCCTCAGACTCTGGCCAGTGGGGCCCAGGCAGGCTGAGGTGTCGGGGTAGTGCCAGGGGACCAGAGGTTCCTCCTGTCTCTGGAGTCGCAGGACCAAGCACAGGTCACACCATCTTGCCCCACTTGCTTGAACCTTGCTCGTCCCTTCTCCCCTTCAGCCTCAAGGCTGTCCTGGCTGGGAGCCCTCTGGACAACACTGTGGACCTGTCAGGCATCCCGCTGACCTCCCGGGACCTGGAGCGGGTGACCAGCTACCTGCAGCGCTGCGGGGAGGAGGTGGATAGCGTGGAGCTGGGCTTCACAGGCCTCACAGATGACATGGTCCTGCAGCTGCTGCCAGCACTCAGCACACTGCCCCGCCTCACCACGCTAGCCCTCAACGGCAACTGGCTGACCCGGGCTCTGCTGCGTGACCTCACAGACACCCTGAAAGACCCTGGCAAGTTCCCCAACGTCACGTGGATCGACCTGGGCAACAACGTGGACATCTTCTCATTGCCTCAGCCCTTCCTGCTCAGCCTGCGCAAGCGTTCCCCAAAGCAGGGCCACCTACCCACCATCCTGGAGCTGGGTGAGGGCCCCAGCGCTGGGGAGGAGGCCCGGGATGGGACAGTGAGCCGGGAAGACCATGGAGGGGGCTGTCTGGCCCCTGTTGAGGAAGAGGGCAAGGAGACTGCAGGCGCAGCTCAGACGTGACATGGACGTGAGGACCTCCCCAGGCAGTCCCTGTGGGGTAGGTGGCCGAGGCAGGCTAGTGGGTCCTACTGTGGAGCTCAGGCTCTCACCCAGACTCAGCCTGGGCAGCCCACCTGTGGGAAGCCAGACGGCAGCATCTAGGAGAGGGACTGTAGACTTCTTTGATCCTCCCCATCTCCCCCCTTGCCAATCCCATTATCTTTGGCTCCTGAGGAATCAGCCTCCCCATCCTTGTGGGTAGTGTTAATGCTTAGAAATGCTCCAAGTTTGGGCCAACCTGAGTGGTCTAGAGCCTTCTCCCAAGTGTAGGTCAGACCCTGCATCTAACCCAGGACTTCCCAATTCTTTATTATATTTGTTCTATTCAAGGCAGCAAACTCCAGCCAGATGCTAAATGTACCCCTGCTCAGGGTCGGTTGGAATCTTAACTCCTGGCTGAAGGTTAAGGAAGAGGTGGCTGCCAGAGATCCCAGGAGCCTAGTCCCCATCTGGACTAAAGGCTGTTTACCTCCTCCCTGTGGAAACCTGGGCTCTTTGAACTTTCCCATCTCAGCTCCCATTTGAGACCCACCCCTTGACCCGTGATGCAGAAGGCCTGCCCGAGACTAGCCACACTATATACACCATTCAGTATTTAGAACATCCTAAGGTGCCTGTACAGTCATGCACGGAAAGGCCCACTCAGAAACCCACACCATCCCTAAGACCACCAGACCTGCACATGGGCCCCAGTGTTGCCAGTATGTAGACCAGAGTGAGCTTTGCTTCCTTATAAAAGGCTTTTCTTAAGAACCCTTTTCTCAAAATTCCTCCTCATGGGGTTCCTGAAGTAACACTTGGGGAACATTCCCAAAAACCTATGAAAGGCTCTTAAAAACCCAAGACCATGAAGGTGAGGTCGGTAACACCTCCCCGAACTCTTTGCAGTCTAGTGCCTCCAAGACATCTGCAGATGTGAAAAACAAAACTGGGGAGGTTCCCAAGGGGAATGCAAAGATTTTCACCCTTTACCCAAGGCTTACGAACTTTCAAAAACCTTTTTTGGGCACACTAAGCACTAGACTTTAGTATAGACACCAAGTTCAGGAAGATAGAAAACAAGTCTGAGCCAGAGAAAAGCCAGCCCAGGTACCCAAAGTTGGTGAGCCAGAACCCCTCAGGACAACATTAGCAGACAGCTAGGGAAGCAGCCTCATGCCAGGTAGGTAATAAGATGCCAATGCAGGCAGGTAGCAAGCAGAGCTAGGTTGAAGGCCCATCTGCAGGCCACACCTGCCACTGCGTAAGGTTTTGGCCAGGCAAAGCAGGAGCTTCAGGAGGTAGACTATGCAAAGAATACAGCCCAGAGGCAACAGGGACTGGAGTCAAGGGTGTGAACACCTTAAGTGCTTTGAAACTTTTACCCTCAAAGTCTGAAATTGTTACAGCGAGAACAGCTTAGCCTGACCATAGGAAAGCTGACAAATGCTAATACCTGGACTGCTTTTATCTGACAGCAGGAATCAAATTTAACATTTTCTTCAAATACACATTTTTAAGAAATACCCAAGACTATATCCTTTATTACAGTGTCAGTTTAATTGCATGGAGTTACCAATTTTGAGAGGAAAAGTTTCCAGCTTCAAGAACTCAAGACTCTCATCCAGTGTAACAAATTTATACTAAATACAGAAGTTCCTTTGGAACAAAGGAAAACACTAGAACACTCATGAATTTAATGATGCAAATACATTTCTTGGCTCTATTATTGATAAGAATGGCCTCTGAATCTCAGCATTAAGCATATTTCTACATCAAGTATTGAACCTTAGAGGTTGTTTTCCTAACTTAAGTACAGTCGACGCATTATTAGCTTCAGGTATACAACATAGCATTCCACATTTATGTACATTACAAAATGCTCACCACATACAAAGTTATTACATTATTGACTATATTAGGTTTCGAGTCCAAACTGATGGTGGCCACTGGCCCTTGGGACGTCTCACTGCCCCTGCTGCAGGCACAGCTGACCATCCTCTAGGAGAAGAACCTGCAAAGGAACTAAGTGTCAGTCTCACTTTCTACTCCAATCAACAGTCATTCACAGTACAAAAGATACCTTCAGAAAACCTTAGGTTCACCACTACACAATCTGCCGGTAATTCCAGCTTTTTTGGGTGATTCATCATTTGATATCCTTTTCTGTACATCAGTTAACAAAGCTGGCTACTTATTCAATTTTACCACTGGGTGGGGGGTCACTGTCCTAATCAAACTTACCTCTTTGAAGCTGACGCCGCCACCGCTTCAGGACTGTACTTATCACCATTCTGCAGCACGCAAACCCCACGGGAATGGACGGAGGTGCTCAGCGGACGCTGGAGGCAGACGACAACAGTTCTGATCAGAGGATAGCCTCAACTACAAATTAACAAAATCAAGGCCATCCTAATAAGTCTTTAAGAATTTACTGAAGGTGCTTTTTTGTATATTAAGCCATGTAAGCCTCCAAGTCCTGAATGGCTTCTTTGGGTGTTATAATTTCCATATAGTCACATGACTTTAAACATCACAAACCTAAGGCTATATCATCATTTTCAAGGATGAGAAAAACTACACCTTGCAGATAGGCAATTTGCTGAGGATTATACAGCCATGAGGTAAAAGGGATCCCTGGGTTTGCTCTGCACTCCCCTCCATTGCCACCATCAACCACAATCAGTATCTGGGATATTCTGCCAGTAAAGCTTAAGGGCTAGTGATAAAAGGCTTATTAGGTTAACTGATAAAACTGCCAATATCTGACCTAACAGCAACTTCAGGAGATCCAATTTAACATATTGGGTACTACTTTCTCCAAGGACCAAAGCTTACCTCATGACTGGCCGACACTCTGCTTGCTGTGTGCTCCAATGCTCAGCAGTTGGTCATCACGTACCAGCAACCCTTCACTGATTTGCAACCTGGGTGAATACATTAGTGAAAGGTCACAGTTCAAACCAACCTCCTCCTGGTCACCAACAACTGGTGGAAGACTTGACTGCAGTCAGCCAGGAATTGTTATCGTCAGTTATCGCTTCTGACGGCACTTCCTACTAGTGATTTCATCAGAGCAGTCAAGCCCCTCACCGCTCCCCAGGGCTGCTCCAGAGACGTGGTCATTACCTGGAATGGAGCTAAAATCATCTTACTAACAGCCATGAGACTTTTTAAAACTTAGTTTCTCAATAGCTGCAGTTTAAATACAGCTCCAGTTTAGCAGTCACCTCCAATTTCTAGTTGAGGTTTCACGTTGTGCAACGAAGCAATGCGTAAGTGTTATACATTTGTTACATTACCACCAGGCGATTTAAGTGCGTTTAAGGTAACAAAAACGATACAAGTTATGTCTCACCTCAGCGTGGGTTGCTGCTCCGGCTTTAATACTCTGCCAGTAATCTGCCATCTGAAACATGGAGGGCGTGGGTTTAGGGCAAATTCTGGCAGTTACTTTCAACTACATCACCGCGATTTCAGCGACTGCAGTCAGGCAAGCAAAAAAGTCGTCAGTTATCGCTTCTGACGGCACTTCCTAACATTGGTATCATCAGGACAGCCGAGCAGACCTTCCCCGTGGTCCCATTACAAACCTCACCCAGACGCGGGCGCCTCAGGTGCACGTGCACCCCAACTTACCCAGTTCCCTCGGGTGTGCGCGCTCCACACAGCAGGCCCGGGGAGCGGGCGCTCGGCCTTCGGGGTCCTCGGGCTCCGGAGACGGAGGCAACCGCACTGCCGGACAAACGCACAAGGACCCATGAGGCTCGGCCCGCGAGCCTCCCCAACACCCGGAAACGGCACGGCGCCAGCGAGACTCGGCGTTCCTGAGCCGCCCTCCACCCTCCAGGTTAACTTCCTAAAAGCTGCTTCCCAGAAACTTGAAATTCTAGCTCACTTGCCCTTGCCGGAAGCCCCTGGCCCACTTCCAAGAACTATAGACCTCCATAATGACTTCAACGGAAAGGCTGCTTCCGCAGCGGTCCAGGCCCTTAAGGAGGAGGAATCTTCCATTCCTCACATGAGGGGGGGTGATACTGGCAAAAACTCACGGAAACTTTCCGCCCATCCAACGATGCAGACTCCGCCTCACCACCCAGGGCCACCCCCTCCTTTAGAGACTATGGTCTCTTCCACAGTCCCGGGAATTCTGGGTCTTGCGGAGCGCGGCGAATTCCAAAGCGCCTGCGCGGCGGCGTGTGGACCGTTGCAGTGGTGAGTTTACGTGCCTGCCGCTCACTTTTGTGTGGTCTTTTTCCGGTTCCTAATCTTTTGAGCTTCCGGTTGCTCATCTGGTAAATGAAGATGCTGGCACCGCAGCGTGTTGTTCTGAGGAACACATGTGATAACACACCTGAAACCTTTGGCACGCAGCAAAGCTTTCATAAATAGTAGCTGCTCCTAATACTAGGAAGCGTTGCCAGTCGGCTCTCTCCCCACAGCTGCGTATCCGGATAGCCACGGAGCTTCTCACACCCCTGCGCGCTGGCAGCGATCTTTGCTGTTTAGAATGGCCTCTGAGGAGCGAGCAGACGTCTTTTCTGGACCACTTGCATCCTCTCCTCCCTTTCTCCTTTCCGCATTGCTCAGGACTCAGTCCGCGCCTTTCCTCACCAGCGATGGAAGCCCCTCCCCTTTGCGAATGCTTTCATAAGAACATGTTCGTTTCCCATAAAAAAATAGTCCCGATTTCCCTCATTTGTGTAGTATAACAACGAAGCAAAACTGAAAAAACAAAATAGCAGCAGACTCACAGACTCCAAGAAGGGACTAGCGGTTACCAAAGCGGAGGGGTGGAGGGGAGGGAGAAGGGGATTAAGGGGTGTATGATTGGTGCACATGGTGGCACAGTGTAGCTCAGAGAAGACAGATAGGGTCTCTGTGCATCTTACTACACTGATGGACAGTGGCTGCAATGGGGTATGGGAGGAACTCAATAATAAGGGTGAATGGAATAACCACATTGTTTTTCTTGTAAAACGTTCATAAGTATATCAATGATACCTTAAAAATAATAATAATCAGTCCATGCATATGCATTTTATAAACACATCACACCACAGGAGGGCAATTTATTTTGACGAGAAGCTTTCTCTTCAAGGTATAATGGGACAAGTTTTGAGCTGTCTCAAAAAATTTTAAGGACCTTAGTGGAGGGCCAGGAGCTTCCAGCAACAGCCAAAGCAAGGAGACAAATACACATGAGGTCCATCCATCACTCTGCCTGAATAATGCAGTAAAAGTGCAAGGAGAGCACGGGGAAAGCAGGGATTTAGCTGGGGGTGTCTGGAAATGCTTGAGCAAAACGAGGGGTTGCCCGCTCAGGCATCCTGCGGACCCTGGGGGAACCTTTTAAGCTTTCAGAGCACAGGAGTGAAATGTTTCTCTTCTGTCTTAGTAAGATCTCTCTGGCTGCCCTGCAGAGAACAGCTTGGAATGGTGGGAACTGAGCAGGAAACTAAGTAGGGAGAGAAAGCAATAATCCAGAACTGAGCTAAGAGGCTCAAAGGCATTTGGAGACATCTTGGAGGTGGCTTTAAGGGGCATCTGGAAGCTGTGAGAGAAGATGGAGAGGTGGCTGTGCTTGCCCAGTCCCACCACCACACATCTGCCATGATGGCTCACAGCACACTGCACTGGGAAGAGGACAGCTCCCGGGCTGGGAGGCAGCAGCTGATGATCTATGCCCAAGCAAGGCAGGAGCAGCCCTCACAGACTGCTCACACTGATGAGCTCACAGACAGGCAGATGTTAATCAGCCCAAGGGCCTGGTAACTTTGCGCAAATAATGTTTTCAGGAGAGTAAGTCTTGAAAAATATTTATTTATATTTGCCACCAAAGTTCCCTAGGACCCAGAGCCAGGAGGCAGGGATGGAAAGATTCCCTGGCAGTGTCCTGCGAGCCTGCTGCTGCATCTGGGCCATCAGCGGGACTCCAAGAGCTGGAGGGAGAGATGGTCTTCCTTGGAGGCATGGCCCTCCTCTGGTTGGGAGGCCAGGGCGGCCTTCTTCATGGTGCCTGTAAAAGGAATGAAGAGCACTGTGGCTTGGCCCTTGGGGTGTGTCCCCAGGAGGCAGGCACCAGGGAAACAGGAGGAGGCCACAGCATGAGACTACATCATGCTCTGTGGGCAGCAGGTAATCCTGGAGTGCCCAGCAGTCCCTCCTCCTGCCTCGCCCTTCCACAAGTCCTTGCTGAACCCCTGCCATGTGCCGGTCAGGGACCTCCACCCAGGAGTTTAGAGCCCCCGGAGGTGACAGGCTTTTGTGTTAGAAACTAGAACACCCGAGACTTGTTGAAGAGCTGAAGGGAAGTGAGATTTAGGTGTTCAGGGAGCTCAGGGGAGAGAGGAGACCCAACCCTTAGGGAAGGCAGCAGATTTGGACACCCAGAGCAGCAGGACAGGGACTTCCCACAGAGACGAGAGCCAAGGAAAGCAGAGAACAGCGAGGACTGTGGCGGGACCAGCTGCCACATGAAGGCAGGCAGGGGTGGGGAATGGCTGGACAGGTTTTGGGCCTTGACCTCCCTTCTGAGGAGTGTGGCTTTCCAGGCAATAGGAGCCATTGTATAGTGTAGGCCGTGTGTAGTTTTGGTCTCCATTAGAGGGACTGGAGTAAGCCTGAAGCAGACTTGTCTAAAGGTCAGGGGGCAGACTGAGCCCCACAGGGGTACAGAAGCAGGGAAAATGAGGGGCAGAGGTGTGGTGGCTGCCTGGGAGGCCATGAGGGTATGTGGGGGTTGGGGGGCAGGGATCCTCAAGGTCCCTGGCCTGGGTGAGGAGGGTGTTGGGTACACACACGTTACCTGGTAGGGCAACCCCAAGGCTATTCCCACTGGGGAAGTCCATTCGGCAGCCCCAGCAGGCAGTGGGGTGCGGAATGCTTGAGGCAAGATGAAGGGTGTGATGACTTTCAGGGTCTTGGCACTGAGGTGATAGAGCAGCAGGACTTGGAGGAGGGGAGACAGAGGGTAGACGGAAGATCTATGGGCTTGTGAGGGCTGTGACCAGGGAGACAGGAGCCTGGGAAACCTGGCTCAGGCGTTGGCACAGGGCTCCAGGGGAGCCTCCCTATGCAGGGCTCCTGGGTGACATGGGAGGCCATTGTGAGGAGGACCATAGGTGACAAGGGAAGATATTATGAGGAAGGTCATAAGTGAAGGGAGGGGCTGAGGTCACAAGCACCAGCCAGTGGAGTTTGTCAGATGAGAAAGGAGAGTCAGTGCAAGACTTGAGGTGGGAGCTGTTGAAGACTCCAGAAAGGGCCTGATGTAGAGAGAGCTCATTCTCAGGGTGGACCTCTGGGTGGAAGGAAGGAATTGGTCTTGGTGGAGGCAGTGGGGCCATCACCACACTAGAATGGAGGGGACACAGGGCTGAGGGTGGAGGCCTAGGAAAGGAGGGACTTCTCCTCAGAAGTCTGGTCCAGGGGCTTGTGTAGTACAGGAAATGTCACAAGGGCAGAGCCAGCAGGGCCTCGGGGAGGTGCCCCCTCAGCTGTGGGATCAGTAGGGGCCTCCCTAACTGGGTCCCCTGCTGGGTCCCCAGGCTCTGGGATGCCAGGCCCTAGACAGGGAATCGAATGGGTAGAAGGCACAGCTGGCCAGAGGGGATGGGAGTGGGAGGCAGGGGAGGGGCAGGGGCAGTGGCTCTAGAGGAAGCACTAATGGCCTTGGTCCCCCTGCCAGTGAAACAGCAAAGAGGTGGGAGTGAAAGCAAAGGGAGGGGCAGCATTTTAGGGGGGCAATCCTTGGAGCTGGGAAGTGGCCACGGAGGGATCCTGCCCCAGACACTCTGAGGCTGTGTGCCAAGCAGACAGTCTCTAGCGCACTCTCTCTCTCCCTCTGCAGGCCAGGGCTCACCACGGCTACTCACCAGGGACAGGTGGCCCTGACATGTCCTCACACACCGTTGGCAGTGTCTGCTCCCATGCAGCCCAGTTCACTTCCTCCACCCTGAGGGCGACAGAGCAACTCTGAGCTCCTGGAAGCCAGCAGTACAGCCTGCTTTGCCCCAGCAGAGGGGCCCAGGGCCTGGGTGGGGGGGCAGGGTCAGTGAGGAGGAGAGGGTTTCTCTGCCTTCTCCACCAGGCACAGGGCCACCCCCTGCCCCACAGGGCCCTGTCCTTGTGGCCATCACCCTGCTGCCCCGGGTCAGGTGCCTGCATGGAGAAACAGGTATTTGTCCCTTCAGGCTGTTGACAGTAAGCTGGGTTACCCTGAACACCCAGACAAGAGTTGACACCAGGTGCGTCGTTGTGTTCTGGTTCTGGGGCCCTTTTGTGGCTACTCCACATGCCTAAGACCCTCCCCAGCTCCTTGTTTAACTATCTCATGAGAGTGGGTTTCTGACTTCACATCTGTCACCATGTTCCCTCTGCCATGGAAGAGTTTGATCTCTAAGGAAGGGTTGCAGGCCCCAGGGTCAGGGGACAGGAGTGGAGAGGGCAGAGCAACCAGCCAGGGCAAGGCTAGTTAGTGCACTGGAACTGCAGGGTCCCTCTGGCTGCTTGACCCCCTAACTTCCTCCATTTCAGGCCAGAAGGAGTAGGACAGAGACCGCCAGGGAAGGACGTTCAGTTTCAGCCAGGAGCACAGGAGAGCGACAAGCAGCAGCAGCTCCAGACTTAGGAGACCCAGCATCTCTGACCTCATCTGCCCAGGGCGGAGTCCCCTGGGGCTCCTAGGCCCTACCTTTTCCACCAGACCAGGCTCCTGGCAGCTGTGCCCTGGCTCCAGGGATTCCTAAGTCAGCGAGTCTGCCAGAGCGCCCTCCCCTACACAGCTGACTCACCGGAAGCACCAGCGTTCATCAGGGCTACCGTCTGGCCTGGTGCCAACTGTCAGCATCACACCAGCCCGCTGCTTCTTCCTCCTCCACCACCAGTAGCCATTCTCCATCTCCAGGACAGAAATGGCTTTCTGGGGACAAAGAACACATCAGACAC